TGCTTGTGCTTCTGAATGATCTGCAACCAAAATATTTGATTTTCCATCGGACAAAAAGTCAAGGCTTCAACTTTAAAGCCCATGACATAGTTTGCTTGCTTTAGCTCATAATAAAGTCGTTGGAGAATGTTATTAGTTGTCGCCTTAGATATTTGGAGGATGACACGTGTGGGCTGTTCCCATGAGGTCAAACAGAGGCTTCCCTCTTGATGATTTAATAATAATAATAATAATAAAACTTTTCCATAGGTCTCGTCTGTACACGGGATAACGTGTTAATTTGATTTTATAGGCTGAGGTTGCGCTACCAAGGGGTCCGACGTTTCTAAACTCTTCATTAGTCGCTGTCCAATTAATCTTCTGGCGTTAAATTTGTCATTAGCTAAGGGGCTGTTTGGTTATAAGTTTTTTACTATGTAAAATGATGGAAAGTGTAAAAAAGTGTGTCCCAATGATAGCTTTCCTCCTTTTCAATTGTTTGTTTGTAGTTGTGAAAATAGTGTAAAGTGGTTTACTATCCTAATGTGGCATGAATTCACAAATCCCTTCAAAATGGTCTGATTTTGAAGGAAAACTGACATATGTGTCAGAAGTGAGAGGGCTATGCCAATGGAATCATTTGAGTAGGGACCACAGAATAACCACTTTTTATACTTTCCAAACAAGCAATTAAAGTTACATTTTGCAAACCAAACAAGCAATTTATGATTCCAATGGAATAAGCAATTAAAGTTACATTTTGCAAACCAAACAAGCAATTTATGATTCCAATGGAATAAAAAACAAACAAAGAAAAGTTGCTCTACATTTTGCAAACCAAACAAGCAATTTATGATTCCAATGGAATAAAAAACAAACAAAGAAAAGTTGCTCAGTGAAATTGATGGGGGTGGACAACAACTTTTCAAGTTGTGTCATAAATACACAACTTTACCAACAACAACCAAACAACCCCAAATGTTGCAGTTAAATGTTAATGTGCTGTATTATATGTTCTTTGAAAAGATTGTGATAGCAGAATCAGATCATAAATTGTTTACATCAGTTGGCGAGGAATTCAGGATAATACATAATTTTTTAAAAAAAGAAGAAGAAGAATTATTCTAAAGGAAGTTATATATACAATTGAGAAGAAGACACCAGGAGCATAAAAAAATACGTCCTCACGGGACTCCGAGTGCTATCATACCCAACAATACCTTTAAGATGAAAAACAATAGCACATAAGTATTGGGGTCGCATGTTACGTGACATCATGATAATTATATTGTAATGTTTTAATGAAATAATACATGACAAATTTTAATAATTTAAAAAAGGTAAATGTAAAATTGATAAGTATCGAAAACGCCCTCACAGGACTCCAAACGCTAAGAACCTCAATAAAATTCTATAAAGAGAAAAGGCCAAATGCACTGAAATAAAGAGGGATGCATTATTCAATTACATCATGATATATAATACGAGAAATATGTGAGGGTTCAACTCCGAAACATTCTATTTTCCAGTCTGATGTCACCGGGTTCTTTTCAATTCAATTCTCAATCCATTAAAGCCTCTACATATGCATCCAAAGGTTTTGTTCTTCTTCGTGCTATGTATCATCCTATTTATATCATATAGTTTTCTCACAACTAATTAACTATATATATCATTCATATGCTGTTCTTGGCGGATACATTTTCCAATCAATGCGTCTTTTAAACTGAATTTTTCATACCTGCATGTTTGGTAAACTTTCACTAAGCTAACTTTTCTTTATGCGTACTACATCAATCAACTAAGTTGACATAAATTTCTCTTTTGAAATTGTTAGATAATATCAGTCATCCTATATGTGTATAGCCGCCTCAGCCGTCTCCTAGCCCGCCTCAGTCGCCTCCTAGCTGCTATATATCCTGTAAATCTGATCATCAAATATAGAAAGCTTCTTCAATACCAACTTAACATGACATCAGAGCCCCAAACCACAAATTAACCCTACTCATACCTCTAGCCGCTGTCGCCACGTCGGAGTTGTTGTTCGTCATCGTTCAACCGCAGATCAGATCTCGGCTGAAGTCAACTTCATCGTTAACCCTGTTGCCGTGGTTGAGTCTCCAAGGTGCTCAAATCGCCGCTAGTGCTCGCAGTCACCGTCGTGGTCGAATCGATCGTCGTCGTCGCCTGGCGTCGCCGTCTTCGTAGCCCTCCGATCTCGAATCAGGTCATTAGCTGCCCTCGTCGATTCAGGCCGCCATCTAACTCGTCTTGGTATCATGTCTTCGTCTGATACCAGGCCCTCAACGGCTGAGACCTAGGGTTCTCCGCCGCGGGCATCCTCTCGGTTGCAGGCTTCTTCTCGGCCTTGGGCGCCATTCTTGAGATCGAGAGCAGGGGGCTGAGTTTTTAGGGATCGACGGATCTATTAGGGTCAGGGGAGCCGGGGGGCGGTTCGGTCGCTTGAGATCTTTTATCTTCAGGCCCATCTTGAGACCTATATTTATAAAAAAAAAAATCAAAAAATGGACAATAAATGACTCTACACCTTTCCACCCTTGATGTGTAACTTACAAATATCAAAAATTACACTGCATGGTTGAGCTTTCACACTATGGGGTTATATTGACAAATCTCTTCGTTGTCCATCCAAAACTGTTATCATGTTTTCGTTATCTATTACCTTCATATCAGAAGTCACTTCTTGTAATTCCACTACTGATGATTCTCAAATCACTTATTCTCAGTGGATCTGTACTGATCAACAGATCATGGCATATATTATGTGTTCTGTAGCTATTCCTATTTGGCTCTCCCTTGGACAAGCATCTTCATCTCGTGAGCAGTGGCTAGCTCTCAGTCGCATATTTGTTCAAACTGGTGCTGCTCGTGAGTATCAACTTCATCAAAGTCTTCAGTATGCACGTCACAGTGATCGGTCTATTCAATATTTCTATTTTTTATTATCAGGCTATTGGGAAGAATTGCAGATGGTGGAGGAACCTGATTCTGAAACGTTTCCGGACTTTTCCATAGCATTTCAAAAACAATGTGACCGTCAACAGTTATATCACTTTGTCATGCGCCTTCGCTCTGAGTTCAAAAGCTTACATGGACACATTCTTCATCGCAATCCTCTCCACAGTCTCTGTGAAGCCATGACTGAGTTCATATCTGAAGAGACACGCCTTCAAATGCTCTCCTCTTCAGTTATTGCATCTCAGCAATTACCCTCATCACATTATGTTCTAGCTACTCCTTTGCAGTTCTCTTCCTATCGGGGTCCTTCTAACAGTACATCTGATTCCTCTCGGTAACTATACTGTTGTTATTGTAAGAAGTCAGATCATCTTATTGATAAATATCGTAAGAGACCACCTCGTCCGACACTCGAGAAGACTCGACCTCCATTGCTGCTTCGTCTGATGTTAGCCCTACTCTTCAAGAGGCGCAAATTTCTAGCCCGCTCTCTTCTGAACGGCTGTCAGAGATTATTACATTAATAACCAAGAATGTTGGGCTTAGTGGTGTTGCCTCCAACTCAGATTTTACTGCCTTGCCTGCTCATTCTAGTACTTCTACTCCTTGGATATTCTACTGAGGTGCATCTCATCATATGACCTTTGATAACTCTATTCTTACAAATTGTTCCACTGCTCCCTCTTCATTATGCATTTATACTGCTAATGACACTCTCCTTGCAGTCTCTCAGTTAGGTGATATTACTCCAAGTTTCGATAGTTCTGATCGTCTAACATTATCATCAGTTCTTCATATTCCCAAATTATCTATGCAACTTTTATCCATTAGGAAAATTACAGATTCTGGTTGTACTATCTTATTTAATACTAAATCTTGTGTTGTCCAGGATCACACTGGCCAGAAGATTGGGACGGGTCGTAAAGTTAATGGGCTTTATCAGTTAGAGTCTCTACATCTTTCCACTCTATCCAATATTTGCCATGGGCTCTCTGTTTCTAATCTGTGGCACCGTTGCTTGGGTCATATATTTGGTTCTCGCTTAAAACTTTTATCTGAATCAGGAGTATTAGGAAATTTAAAACTCTCTACTTTATCAAACTGTACTAGGTGTTGATTAGCTAAACAAATTGCCCTACCATTTTCATCCAGTAATAATATTGCTTTATGCTCATTTGATTTGATTCATTCTGATATCCTGGGACCTGCCACATTACCATCATTGTCCGGTTATCAATATTATGTCAGTTTTATTGATGACTATTCTCGCTACACTTAGGTATATCTTATGTCTGCTTGTTCTGATATTTTAAATATTTATAACGACTTTACAAATATGGTACACACCCAGTTTCATAAACATCTCGCTCTGATAGTGCCTGTGAATATATTTCTTCGGCAATGCAATCTATTTTAAAATCACATGGCACACACTCTCTCTCAGCAGTCTTGTCCACACACTCATGAACAAAGTGGTGTTGCTGAGAGAAAACATCGTTACATTCTTGACACCACTAGAGCTCTTCTGATATCAGCATTTGTACCTCGATATCTCTGGGCAGAAGCACTTCTGACTGCTGTTTATCTTATCAATATTACTTCATCTTCTGTATTAGCTGACACATCTCCATATTTTTAACTTTTCAAGTCTCAGTTCCGCTACTCTCTTCTTCGCACTTTTAGATGTGTCTATTTTGTCCTGCTTCCAACTCATGAACGAGATAAACTATCTCCACACACTGCATGATGTATCTTTCTTGGCTATAGCACCGTTCATAAGGGGTATCATTGTTATGAACCTACCACTCGAAAGCTTTGTATTGCCCGTCATTGGACCTTCATTGAGAATATTTTCTATTATAATACTTCAAAATTTGGATATCTCTTTTCTTTAACTCCGTTTATTACCTTCCACTACTATACCTGTATCAATGGCACCAGTACCTTCGTCCGCTCAACCGACTCCCTCCTTCACTCCAATGACATCAAATGATAGTGCTCTTGATTCATGCACACCTCCTGAATATCCGCCCACTACACCCCCTTTGCAGCAAGATACTCTTACTGATGTCCCCTCTACATCTGTGCCAGCTTCTCCCGATGTGACTCCTCTCACTCGCCGAAATCCTCCACGAGATCGTCATCCCCCTGCTCGGTATGTTCAATGTGTCACTAGCACATATTCTCCTGAGTTTGTCTCTTTTCTTGCTGCTATTCACTCTATACATGAACCTAACTCATATTCTGAGTCAGTTAAGTATCCAGAATGGCAACAAGCAATGACGAAAGAGTCGGAGGATTTTTGTCAGACTAATATTTGGGACCTTGTTCCTCTGCCTTTCGGTGTTAAACCGGTAAGCTGCAAATAGATTTATAAGGTCAAGACTCGATCTGAAGGTTCTATTGAGCGGTACAAAGCTCGTCTTGTAGCTCAGAGATTCTCACAAGAGTATGGTATTGACTATGAAGAGAATTTTGCTTCTGTTGCAAAAATGACATACATTCGCACTCTCATTGCTATTATGGTTGCAAAACATTGGTCTTTGTATCAAATAGATGTTAACAATGCTTTTCTTAATGGCGATTTGTCTGAGACAGTGTACATGCAGCCACCTCCTGGCTTTCTTGTTCCTCTAGGACATGCATATCGCCTTCGTCGTGCTATATATGGTCTCAAACAGGCTCATCGGGCTTGGTTTGAGCGTTTTCGGCAATCTCTTCTTTCTATTGGTTTCAGTAAAAGCCTAGCTGACTATGCTCTATTTTATCGGTCCTTAGCCTCCAGTACAGTCATTCTATTACTTTATGTTGATGACATGATAATCACTAGGAGTGATTCCTCTGCCATTACTTCGTACAGTCATTCTATTACTTTATGTTGATGACATGATAATCACTAGGAGTGATTCCTCTGCCATTACTTCCTTAAAGCAACATCTTCAGATATGTTGATGACATGATAATCACTAGGAGTGATTCCTCTGCCATTACTTCCTTAAAGCAACATCTTCAGAGTCAATTTTAGATGAAGGATCTTGGATTCCTTCATTACTTCCTTGGGTATTGAGGTTGCTTCCTCCTCTCGTGTCTATCTTCTCTCTCAGCAGAAGTACATTGCATACATTCTTGAGCGTGTTACTCTCAGTGATCCTTCTATTGCTACCACTCCTCTCTCCACACCGATGGAAATGAACTTGAAGCTTCGATATGATGATGGTGATCCCTTACCTCAACCTACTCGATATCGGGAACTTGTCGGAGTATTGATTTATCTTTTAGCAACACGTCTGGATATCACCTATGCAGTAAACATCTTGAGCCAGTTTGTCAGTAGTCCGACTTCCATTCACTATGTAGTTCTCATTAGGGTTCTTCAATATCTCTGTGGCACTATAACTCAATCATTATTTTTTCCCTCAGACTCTTCTTATCTCTCCGTGCATATTCTAATGCTGGATGGGCTGATGATGCAAACACTCGACGTACAACTACTGGCTTTTGTATTTTTCTGTGTTCATCTCTCATCTCTTGGCATAGTAAGCGTTAAGCCGTTGTCTCTCATTCTAGTACGGAGTCCGAGTACATGGCGTTGGCAGACACCACAGTTGAGCTCAAATGGCTCCGCACTCTTCTGCGAGATCTCGATGTCTTTGTTACTTCTCCTATCACTTTATACAGTAATAATCAAAGTGTCATCTCCATTACTACAAATCCGGTATTTCATGAGTGTATCAAACATATTGAGGTGGATTGTCATGTGGTTCGACAAGAGCATGTTGCTGGAAACATTACACTCTCATATGTTCCCTCTAAGGAACAAATGACAGATTTATTTACCAACGCTCAAACTATTTCTGCGTTTCGCTATTTCTTGTCCAAACTCTCGGTGTTCGATCTACCGTGAGTTTGAAGGGGGTGTTAGATAATACCAGCCACCCTATATGTGTATAGCCGCCTCAGCCGCCTCCTAGCGTGCCTACTACTGACTGTGTATGTGTGCTACTAATTGTGTATATATATCCTGTAAATCTGATCATCAAATATGGAAAGCTTTCTTCGTTACCAACTTTAACAGAAATCTTTTTTCTTTTTAAGTCATGCATAAATTTCTAATACATACAGAAAATAAGGAGAATTCGTGCCCACTATCAATTTGAAATATCAACTCAAATGTATCAATGACTTTTATGTACTCATCAACTGCAAATGGATATTTAGGATCCTAATCCCTCCGAACCGGACCCGATGCGATGAACAGGGAATCGAAACATCGCCCACCGTCGACGACTCGGTTCGTTTGCTCGCTCGTCGTCCCTTTCTCCGACGCGTTGACAACCTTGACCGCCCCTCTGATACCAAACCAACCACAGGCTGCCACGTAACGACGTGGGCCCTCTCCCGGTTTCCACTGGCTGGGGCATCGCGTTGCCGGGCCCCACTGTTCAAAGGAAATAAGCCTCCCCTGTGTTTTTAAGGGCACTTCCACGAGCACTACTTTACCCGTGAAAAGAAAGAAGAAGAAAAAAAAAGGAGAGAGAGAGAGAGAGAGAGACCTGTAGGAATCTCACTTCCTCTCTCATCGTGAAGCAATCTCCGGCGAGTTCTCCGGCAATGCGACCGGAAGGAATCTGAAGAGGCAACCGGAAGCCAAGCAGTTGACCGGCGATCGGCAGTGATCCGTGTAAAGAGAGCAGGAGAAGCGAGCAAGAGAAGTTAGAAGAAAAAAGTAGCTAAAGATCTGTTCTTTTCTTGTTTTTCAGTCTAAAGCTGCGATTTTTAAAGGGCTTGAGAGATGAGGTTAGGCTTTCTGTGGGCGGTGTTGTCGGCAGCGCTATTGGTGTTCCCGGCGACGGCGATATCGCCGGAATCGAGGAAGCAGAAGCACGCGTACGCGGCGATGATGTACATGGGGACGCCGAGGGACTATGAGTTCTACGTGGCAACGAGAGTGATGATGAGGTCGCTGGCGAAGCTGAAAGTGGATGCGGATCTCATCGTCATTGCATCCGCTGACGTCCCGATCCGATGGGCCCAAACCCTGTAAGGTTTCAATCTTTGAATTTCGAGTATTTGTTCGGAGCTTTGCTTGATTTACTGTTTCTCGGCCAAATTAGAGTATGAAGTCGTATTTAGTTCAATTTAGTAATTTAAAGATCGGGTTTTGATTTCGTTTTGGTTGTACGGATTGTTACGGCCGGCTGATGATGAGATATCAAATTTGTCCTTTTTTTTGAAATTTCAATGATCTTTTTGAATTTGGAAGAAGATGAAGTAGAGAAGAAGGCTGGAAATATTTTCGAAATTTCCATAATCGCCCCTGCCGGCCATGATCTTGGTGTACATGATTGTGAAATTTTTATTGGTCTTTTAAAGTTTCGATTTTGCTTTGGTAATTCTTTAAAGTTTCAGTTTTTCTTTTTTTTTCCTCTTTCTTTCTTTTTTTAAGACTTCGTTATTGCTTTGAACAAGAAAGAAAAGCTCTACAGAGGGAAAATAAAGAAAAAAGTATGCACTGCCCTCAAATTTCTTCAAATATTTCGAGATGTACACGCTTTGTGATTGAAATCTTAAGCAACTGCAATCAAGTTGAAAATTCTGAGATAATTATGAATAATATCTATCTAGAGAATACGGATATTTTGAAACTTCAGATTTAGATATTTTTTGGGTAGGAATTTCTTATACAGGACAAAAACCAGTTGACTTCTTTGGTTTGGTCCTGCAATACATAAACTCTTGTTCTTTTGTCGCTTTCCTTTTAACAACCATTGATTTTGATTTAGGAAAATAGTTCTCTCTTACATACTTTTGGACCTAGTATAATTTCTTTTCCTAGTAAGAGTTTGATAGAGAAATCATAAATTAACTAAAAAGTGAAAAATTTACAGGAGAAATGAGGATGGGGTGAAGGTGGTAACAGTAAAGAACTTAAAGAACCCATATGAGAATCAAGGCAACTTCAATAGTAGATTCAAGCTGACAATGAACAAGCTCTATGCTTGGAGCTTAGTTGAGTATGATCGAGTAGTGATGATTGATTCAGACAATCTCTTCCTTCAAAAGACCGACGAGCTCTTCCAGTGTGGTCAGTTCTGTGCTGTGTTCATCAATCCCTGCATCTTCCACACTGGCTTGTTCGTCCTACAGGTACAGTTCGTACAAAGCTTATCCTCAAAGATTTTTTACATTGCAATTTTTATATTTGTAAATTTATACTGAGCACTTTTATAAGTCAAGACTCGAGACCTTAAATTAGAAATGCACTTTGTAATATACGAGAGTTCATATGCAATATTTGATTCTAACAGAAAATTGGTGCACGGGAGATAATTGATCATAAGTTTTGAAACTTCATGATGGAACTAATGGTAATGTTCTTTCACTGATGGTGGAGGGAACAATCAATAGGCTCATGAGGTGATTGGTGGTAGTCAATGGGGAGATGAATCAGATTCATGCTAGAAATTAGGATTGCGTGTAGGTTAGTGAAAACTAAATGATGTGGTCCAATTGTGACACATTGATGTGTCCATCTCAAGCCACATGACTTTTATACCCGAGAATAAGTTTGGTCTTTCAATTCTCATAGCACAAGGGCATAACTTCAGCTTTTTACCAAACATATAATTTTATGTTTAGATTTGTGAACCAATTATGCCCCTAAACGTCTAGGCCATGATTAATTCTACATGAAGACGTGAAGTATGATTTTTATATTGGGAAACAACATTGATCTCTAGGCATGCAAAATGAGCCAAAGAGCTATGTTTCTCTAGCTATAGTATCTATATTATACATTTATTCAATTACTTTTAGCTTTGGTTAAATTTAAAATGTGAAAATTAATTTAAAATTCCTTTTTATGGATGTTCAGCCTTCAAAGGTCGTGTTTAAAGACATGCTTCATGAGCTAGATGTTGGTCGATCAAATCCAGACGGTGCAGACCAGGGTTTTCTTGCTAGTTACTTCCCGGATTTGCTTGATCGACCAATGTTCCATCCACCAGCCAATGGTACAAAGGTTGATGGCTCATACCGTCTTCCTCTAGGATATCAGATGGATGCTTCCTACTTCTGTAAGTTCAATAACCGCCTACTTTTTTTCATGTTTGTATTAAATTGAGGGGTCGCTTTTTTTTTAAATATTTTAAGTAAATGTTAAAGGATGGATGTTATATAACTTCATTTTGATAATTAAAAGGAATGTAGTTAAAACATTAGGTATATAGTATCATTCACCACCAAAGTGCATTGCACAAAAAATGATAATGCACATTATATAACTACACCCGTGATTATATGACTTGGAGATTCCATGGATATGGAGCAAAGAAAATGTGGAGAAATTTTAAGGGGGAAATCGGATTCCTTCCATTTGACAACAACAACAACAAAGTCTTCTCCTAAATCTTCAAGGTCGGCTACATGGAATCCTACTTTCCATTCAGTTCTATTTTGGATCATCTCCTATCATATTCTTCTTAATTGCTTCCAACCAAGTTCGTTTAGGTCTACATCTTTTATTTCTGCTGCTTTGACTGCTCTTCTTTTATTCCTTCTGATTTGACTGCTCTCAGAAAAAGAAAGAGTTGCAATTTTCTAATGTAACCAAAGAGAATGCATTTTCTTTGGTAGTTTTGTTTTCCACATCCTGAAAGTTGATAATAGCCTAAACAATCTCATTATAACTCTACTTAACAGTGAGATCAAGCATTTATTTGTATTCCTTCCTTTTGCAGATCTTAAGCTTCGATGGAGCATACCCTGTGGCCCTAACAGTGTTATAACATTTCCAAGTGCGCCATGGCTCAAACCCTGGTACTGGTGGTCTTGGCCCGTTCTCCCTTTAGGCCTCCAATGGCATGAACAAAGGCGAAACACTATTGGGTAAATTACTAAAACACCCCTCCTTTTAACCCCCAATTACATATCAAAGTCTAACATTCCAAATTTAAACAGATACAGCGCCGAGCTCCCTGTCGTAATGATCCAATCCTTAATGTATCTTGCCATCATAATAGTCACTCGTCTCGCTCGCCCTAGCATGTCAAAACTCTGCTACAACCCTCACCCAGAGAAGAGCATCGCCTTTCTACACTCCATGCTCAAAATGGCAGCAATGTGGTGCATTTTAGCAGCGTACCTTGTCCCTGTCATGCTTATACCACGAACTGTGCACCCTCTTCTTGGTTGGTCTCTGTATTTGCTCGGTTCTTCCTCTTTGGCTTCCATTGTTATAAATTCCTTCTTGGTTCCGGTGATTCCAGTGCTTACGCCTTGGATTGCGATAGTTGGTTCGTTGTTTGTGATGGCTTGTCCTTGGTATTCTAATGGTGTGGTTAGGGCATTGTCGGTGTTTGGCTATGCTTTCTTTTGTGCTCCATTTGTGTGGGCATCAGCGGTGAAGGTCGTTACTTCTTTGCATCTTGTTTTTGAAAGGGAGGGTTTTTTCCCTAGATTGGGAGAAAGCTTACAGACTCCTCAGTTCAGCAAGCTGTACTGATGTTATTTATTATTTTTGGAAAGATTTTGGGATTTTTATTCCTGTATTACTTGTGTATGAATACGAGTATATTCGGTATATTTTAATACCTTACAGAAGAAGGGGGAGGGGATGCAATTGGAGAATGTATAGTAGTTCTCATATCAGGCAGCAGGAGGCTTACCAAGACCGTTTAGTTGGTGTCTCTCCTGCTGTGTTCTGATATTTCATCATTTATCTGAAAAGGGAATATTTGGGCTGCATTCAGAATCCATATCTTCTATGCTTGTTGTTTTTATAACCAGATTTCAAGATGCTAATCTTACTCACGGTCAACTCTTCAGACGCATCACATGCAAAACAAAGCACGCATCCAATGCTTTTTTAAGATTCATTATATATAAACATTAAGCGCATCTGGCACTTTTGTTACAAACAATAATTAGAGGTTAGCAGCTTCCAGCTCAGTTGACAGAGGCCAAGTCACATGGTTATTTATCACTCTCTGCTGGCTGGTTCATGTACTCTATTCACCAGGTTGCAGAAAAAAGAAAGAAAAGCTAAGCATGTTTCAGATTAATTTAAAAAATAATTATAACAGAGGATGCAACTTCATTAAAAAAAAATGTGTTGCCCTGTAAAAGGTTACTAACATGCACCAAGCTTTGAATGTTGATAAACAATGAAGCGTTGAAATAGGCTGCTAACTTAAAAATCTAACTCTCTAGGACGGCCCTTGACAAGCTTTTCTTGCAGTTCCAGTTGCTTAGGCATTACAAGTTCAGCTCCGCTGCCAGACATTGAGAAGTATCTCTCAAGTACCATCTGAAATTTTAAGAGCAAATGAAAAAAGAGGTCCACATAGGAAAACAAAATCAATTGAAAACTTCGAAGACAGTTTCTAGCAGCACCATGGCAGCATAGGCATCTGTTCTCCCTTGGCGAGCAGATTTCTTTAGGCCCCTAAAGAAGAAAGCTGTTGGGTTAAACTCTCATGTGCTTGAAGCAGATAACATAATTCTGCCATTCGAACTTGAATCATGTTGGAGATACATGTACATCAACAAGAAGAAGCCCCCAAATTATACTAAAAAGGAACAATTCAACTATCGGCACTACAAATAAAGAGAAGGAAATAATGATAAAATGAGCACATACGCTTCTTTCATAAAGTCGAGGGCTTCTTGTGAACTTCCATGCTCATCTTGCAAATATACTCTCAAACCTCTGCACTGTTTAAGAATTGGAATCAACAAATGGTGCATGTAGAAAGGAATTATGTGTAAATGTGGTTATTTATCTTCATCAGGAGTGTAAATTAAAAAAAAAACCGTATTCTGTATGGTTACATTAGAAAACGATTATCAAGTTTTTGTTTGTAATATCTGTCTGAAATGTACACAACACATCTTTTTGTTTATAACTGAAAAATGATGTAGATAAAACATAGTCGGGGCCCTGATCGTTGACATGAAAAGAAAAGCATGCATCAAGGGCTGGATAGAACTGCTGAGGGGTAATCACACGATTTGGATCTTTTAACACTTGCTCTTGTATAATCCATCATACTAGTCATCTCAGAATCTATTTTATGCCAGTTAAGTAGCATTTTGTCAGCAGGATGCATAGGTCAGTTCAAGCAGTTGATTTGAGGCTAATCTACTCCGAAATTTAGACAGAACCGGATGTCACAAGTGAGATTAAACTCAGGAAAGGAGATCACATTTATCCCAACGTTGTGTAATCGCATGAGAAATTCCCTTTTTTGGGAATACCCTATTATGCCATCTGAGGATTGAATGCTGTTGAAAGCGCTATCCCCTCTGTCATTCTTTTTTGAAAAAGCGTAATATAAAAGAAGCCCCCCACCCCCCCCAGCCCTACTGTGAACCGGGAGGGAAGTCAAGTTTCCATAAATTTACTGCTACATACAATGAAGAAAATGTGAAAAGCATCACAACATCAAAAACCATAAGCTAATTTCACAGAAACTCATGATGTATTTATGGTTTGAACAAATCATGTTAATAATTTAGCAACAAAAAAAAAGTGATTCTATGTCTTTCTTTATTTTATGATAACCCACAGATTTGTCCATTTCCATCGGCTTCGACCCAATGACAATAATTAGCCGCATTTCAAACTTCACAATTTTCATGGGCTATGCAGCCCACAATTTTTGTCCATTGTCATTCGTTCGACCCAATGACAATTAATTATGCATACTTCAAAATTTACGAATTTCATAGACTAATCCACAATTTTGTCCAATACAGTTTTTGATGCAATGACGATTAATAATGCGTATTTCAAAGTTTGCGATTTTAATGGGTAAATTACGATTTTGTCCATTTTTTCATTTTGACTTGATGGAAAATAAATATGAGTACTTTAAAATTCAGGGGAGATAAGCCATGATTTTGTCCATTTTCATCGGTTTTGAGCCCATGATAATTGATATATATAATTTAAAATTTACAATTTTCATGAGCTATAATCCACAATTTCTGTACAATATGGTCCATTTGACCCAACGACAATTAATCATGTGCGCGCTACATAGATTTTCATTGGGTATAATTCACGATTTTAGCTCGTTTTGTTCATTTTCAACCCAATGGAAAATAAGTATGCGCGTCTCAAAACTCATAATTTTTATGGACTATAATCCACGATTTTGTCCATTTTAATCGGTTTCGACCCCATGACAATTAATGTATTTCAAAATTCATGATTTTTATGGCTATAACCCACGACAATGACAATTAACTGGGCTATTTCGAAATCGGCATTTTAATGGGCTATACTCTATGATTTTTTTTCTATCTTCATTCGTTCGACCCAATGACAAGTAATTATGCGTACTTCAAATTTCACGAATTTCATGGACTATATAACCTACAATTTTCTCCAATATGGTTCATTTCAATCTATTGATAATTAATTATGTGTATTTCAAAGTTTGCGCTTTTTATTGGTTATAACTTACGTTTTTTGTCCATTTTTATTCATTTCGATCCAATGGAAAATAAGTACGCAAACTTCAAAATTCATGATGTTCATGGGCGATAGCCCACGATTTTTTCCATGTCCATCGATTTCAACTCAATCACAATTAATTAGGCGTATTTCAAAATTTGCAATTTTGATTGATTACAACCCAATATTTTTGTCAATTTTCATGACACAATTAATTGTGCATACTTGAAAATTCATGAATTTCATAGAGTATAATCCATGATTTTGTCCAAAATGGTTTATTTCAACTTACTGATCAGTAATTATACATACTTTAACGTTGGCAATTTTCCCCAATTGAAAATAAGTGCATTTCAAAATTCATGATTTTCATGGACTACAACTCATGATTGTCCATTTTCATCGATTTTAGCCCAATTACAATCACATATGGGTATTCAATATTCGCAACTTCCAGAGGATATGACCCACGATTTTTATCCATTTTTCTTTGTTCAACCGAATGTCAATTAATTAAGCGTACTTCAAAATTCACAAATTTCATGGTCTATAACTTACGATTTTCGTCAAATATGGTTCATTTCGACCCAATGACAATTAATTACGCATACTTCAAAGTTTGCAATTTTCATTAGTTATAACTCAGGATTTTTGCTCATTTTTGTTCATGTAGACCTAATGGAAAATAATTATGTGCACTTCAAAATTTATTTTTTAAATAAGCTATAATCCACGATTTTGTTCATTTTTATCGATTTCGACCTAATGACAATTAATAAAATGTATTTGAAAATTCACAATTTTCATGGGCTAAATCATGTTTTTGTCCATTTTCGTTCATTTTGATTCAATGGTAATTTACTCTGCGTATTTCAAAATTCACGAATTTCATGGGCCATAATCCACAATTTGCGACCAATATGGTTCATTTCAACCCAATGACAATTAACTATACGCACTTCAAGTGCGAGATTTTCAATGGATATAACTCATGATTTTTGTCTATTTTTGTTCATTTCGACCCAATAGAAATAGGTATTTGTATTTCAATATTAATGATTTTCATGGGTTATGGCCCACGGTTTTGTCAGTTTTTATCGGTTTTAACCCAATGACAATTATTAGGCGTATTTCAAAATTAATGATTTTCATGTGTTATACTACGAGAATGACAATAATTAGATGTATATTGCAATTCACAATTTTACTATGCTATAACTCACAATTTATGTCTGTTTTAATTTGCTCGACCCAATGGCAATTAATTATGCTTATTTCAAAATTTATGAACATGGACTATAACTCATAATTTTTGTCCAATATGATTGATTTTGACCCACTGACAATTAATTGTGCGCATTTCAATGTTTGCGATTTTCATTAGTTGTGGCTCAAGATTTGTTTATTTTTGTTCATTTCGACCCAATAGAAAATATGTATGCATACTTCAAAATTCACGAATTTCATGAGCTATATAACCCACAATCTTTCTTCAATATGTTTCGGTTCGACCTACTAACAATTAATTATGCATACTTCAAAGTTTGCGATTATTAATGATTATAACTCACATTTTTCCCATTTCATTTCATTTCGATCCAATGGAAAATAAGTGTACATTAAAATACATGATTTTCATAGGCTTTATCGGTTTCAACCCAATGACAATTAATTAGATGTACATTAAAATACATGATTTTCATGTGCTATAGCCCATGATTTTTGTCCAATTTTATTTGTTCGACCCAATGGTAATTAATTGTCCATTTTTTATTATTTCAACCAAATGAAAAATAAGTATGTGCATTTCAAAATTCATGATATCCATGAGCTAAAGCCCACGATTGCCCTTTTTTACAGGGTTTGACTCAAAGATAATTAATTAGGCGTATAATAAAATTTCACGATTTTCATGGTCAATAACCCACGATAATAACAATTAACTAGGCGTATTTCAAAATTTTAAATTTTAATAGACTATAACCTACAATTTTGCCTATTTCCATTCATTCGACCCAATAGTAATTAATTATGTGTATTTCAAAATTCACGAATTTCATTGGCTAACCCACGTTTTTTGTCCAATATAGTTCATTTTGACCCAATGACTATTATTATGCGGGCTGCAAAACTTTGCCAATTTCATTGGTTATAACTCACGATTTTTATCTTTTTTTCTCATTTAAACTCAATGGAAAATAAGTATGCGCACATCAAAATTCATGATTTCATGGGCTATAACCCACGGTTCCGTCCATTTTCATCAAATTTGACTCAATGACAATTATCTTGGACAATGTTCGTAATTTTCGTTGATTGTAACTCATGATTTTTGTCAATTTTTGTTCATTTCGACCCAATGGAAAAGAAGTATGTGTAATTCAAAATTCTTGATTTTCATGGGATATAATCCACGATTTTGTCCATTTTCATTGATTGTGACCCAATGACAATTAACTAAATGTATATCAAAGTGCGCTAATTTCATGGACTATAACCCACAATTTTTGTCCATTTTCCTTCATTTGACTGAATGTTAATTAATTATGTGTAATTCAAAATTCACTATCTTATGGCCTATAACCAACAATTTTTGTCCAATGCTGTTCATTTTGACCCAAGGATATTTAATTATGCACACTTCAAAGTTCGCGATTTTTATTGGCTATAACCCATGATTTTTATGCATTTTTGTTAATTTCGACTCGATGCAAATAAGTATGTACTTTAAAACTCATGATGTTCATGGGTTATAACCCACAATCTTATTCATCTTCATCGGTTATGACCCAATAACAATTAATTAGGCTTATTTTAAAATTCATGATTTCAATAGCCTACAACCCACGACAATAACAACTAATTATATGTATATTAAAATTCATAATTTTAATGGACTATTACCCACTATTTTTGATTATTTTCATTTGTTCAGCACAATAGTAATCAATTATTGATACTTCAAATTTTTTATTGCCTATAACCCATAATTTTTCTCCAATATGGTTCATTTCGGCCCTCTACTAGTAATAATGCATACTTCAAAGCTCAGAAATTTCACTTTTATAATTTACGATTTTTGTCCTTGGTACATTTCAAGTTTCCTCCTAATCGAAAATAAAATGTATACCTCAAAATTCATGATTTTCATGGATTATACCCCGATTTTGTCTATTTTCATCGGTTTCGGCCCCTATAATAACTAATTAGGCGTATTTCAAATTTACAATTTTCACAGGCTATAACCC